GAATTTAATCACGTTTCACTTCTCTTGGCTATAATCAACGTGCATGCTTCATACAATATTTACTTTCTGTTCAGGTACCAAACTTATACATGACAATCTATTTTACATACAGAGGACAATGTTAGCTGAATGCTCTCTTAGGGTAAATTATATATAAAATTCTGCACAGGGTATTATATCAAGGTGCTCCTTAAACCCATGCTAACTCTGTACCGAGTGCATCAGACAAGAACTGGCAAAATTAAGCCATGTACAGCAGCTCTATTAACTCAAACATATTAGACATCCTGGAACAGCTAATAAAGCAAGCATAAACAACTCTGCCATCGAGCATACTTCCTAATACTCATCCTACAAAATGCTGGATGCTCTGGATTTCCAATAGACGAGTTGAAAGGCTGCAGGAGGGAGGGTCTGACTGGGCCCTATCACACATTGTCAGGGCAAAGGACTACTGTTAGACAAGGGCTCCGTCTACCTTAGCGAGCGGTGGCAGTGCAGCCCAGAGGGAGCAGATGGGAGAGCTGGTGCTGAGGACCCAACATTCAGATCCCATACACCGCGGGGGCTGCTTCTGGTCCCAGGGACCACTGGTAGCAGAAGTGCACTGGGTGTGCCCCCGAGGGCATCACTCAGCCCAGGGACAAGCTGGGGAAAGGCTCCGTCCTGCTGCTCCTCTCCACGAAGTGCTGCTGGGGAGCCAGGCATTTCTGGCAGCCCTTGCGTGGGGATGGGAAATGGAAAGCCAAACTGGGGTTTCATAGGGTATGAAACCTGAAAAACTCAAGCGTAGTATATATGGTGGTCATCTGAAAGATGCGGTCATTCATAAAAAGAAAAGAAGATAAAATAAAAGTCATTCTAAAATACAAAAGGACATGATTCATTATGTGGTTACGTACGGCAGCAGTACCGTAACACTGTTTAAGTCACCTACAGCAGCATGACACTGGTGTAAGAGGGATGAAGCAAGCCCTGTGTTTTCATTTTAAAAGGATGCTCAAGCAGCGTACAGCAGGAAGAGCTACGGCTTCAAATAGCTCCTGACAAGGTCCCTGCAAATAAAATGGTAAGGGTGGGTTCAGCTTGGGAGACGCAGTCACACAACTTCCATCGACTTTGGTAGGAAACTGGCTACACAAAAAAAAACATTTCAAATGTGGTGGTGCCCTATGCTATGAAGATGCATTTTCCAGCCGGTGTGGAGATGAGGCACACACTGCTCAGAGCGTGTGTCGGGGCGAGCAGTGGCGGCACGGCAGGCTGGGGGGAGGACCAAGGTCGCACCCCTTCCCTGCCGTCCAGGACTTTTAATGCACTTCTACAACAAATGTAGATAATTATATATTTATTTTAACATAATAACTTTTTTTTTGCTTAGCTGAGTTGCTGCCTTCTCCCCGAGGAGCTTTTATCATTACATTAAAGATCTTATTTTTGCTCTAACTGACAGACGCCGCAAACTATCTATAAACTCTGGCAGCCAATACAGATATCTGTTCTCTGCAGATTTATTATACATCACTGATCCCTTCATGGAGCAAATTCACCTCATTCTTGAGTACAGCCACTGGATCGGAAGCAAACCACACTGCAGACTACCTGTGAGGTCAGATACCTGAATCTCCACCCTGGCAGACTGCTAGGGAGGAAGAGGCAAGGCCAAGGCCAGAGCTCAACAAATTAGCAAACTGGATCCACAGATATTCTCCATCTGCCAACAACTGTAATGGATTGTGGCTAGGACGTATTTTCTACATATGCAGGACACTCAGAATCAACTAAGTCAATTCTGTTGCTGCACAGCCCAAACCTAAAAAATGCACCACAGGGGACAAAACACCGGAATTCACCACAGTCACTAAAAGGAAAAGGAACTGTGATTTAATATTGCAATTTAGTCCAAGATACATGGAAATGGGACACCTGGTGTGTTAGCCCTAATGTCTGTGCTTTCCTGTGCGAGTGTGGGAAAGCACTTAGCTGAGCCTCCGTTTGTCCTCCCGTAAGCCAGATGTCTTATTTACCTATTTACCAGAGGGGTAATTGCCGTGGGCTTAATGGCCTCTTTATCCGGCGCGGTGTTTTAGAAGTGTTTCAGGCTGAAAGGCGCTATCAGGTGCAAGGCACAGACAGTAGCACGGGGTGAGGAACAGGGATGGCACGTTAGTAGGGTGTTTTTCAAAGCATTTACCAAATGAATCTATAACCTTCGGCAATGCAATCTGAAGGAAACGGTTCTGCACAGACACAAGCATGACCGAAGCGCTAGAGTCGCAATAAAACCAAAAGCAAGTGATCATGACATAGACCACAATATTCTCTCTCCCTGTTAGATTGCATCATCAATGCTAATTTCATTTCTCTCTGGAAATAGTGTAACTATCTGTTATAGTTATCTACAATTTAAGTACATTTCTATTTTTCCCTATATTCTTGCTTCAGGAATTTGACAGTGTTTTGTGGGGCTTTTGCTCCTGATCAATCCCATGTTGTCATCTGTCTGCTCTTGACAAATCCCATTCAGGAACACATCCCTGTAAGGGCCTGGAAACCCTCAGGATCTGTAGATGGATGTCATTTACTTGAGCTGATCTGTTCCCCGGACTCCCTGTTGACAACCCTTCAACAGGTGAGTGTTCATCTGGTATAAATCAGCCGAGCTCTCTTGGGACTCACTTACATCAACCAAGAATCCAGCCCAAAATATAGAACTAATTTCCCATGTTTCAGACTGTCAGACTGTATCCCTTGCTGAAAGGACCTTTGTCAGCAAAAGAAGCACTAGAAACACTTAAAAAATCGTGCTGGAACTGCAATTCTGGCAACCTTTCTGCATAGCAAGTGAAGTAGGGGCAGATGCTCCTCACCAGCCCTTGTCCATTCCCTGGGCACATCGACAGAGACATGAGCTAGGTTTTGCCCACCGAGACAGTTTCTTGCAATTATTGTAAAGGACAAAACAACCAAACCAGAAGGCACCAGGTGATAAACCCAAGATTATTGAGAACCTGGGTGGAAACTTTCTTTGGAGAAGTAGATCAACATTAAATGGACACCCGCCTTTGTCAAGAGTATTTAAAAATGTGAATTTGGGACACAACAACATGACAGAAGTCTGTTTAAGGCCTCGCCAAACCCACCAGGTTCAATAAGAATAAAAAATAAACGTAAGAAAATATAGCTGCCTAATAAAGAAACAAAAATGACCATTGTTACTACAGGGAAAATAGAGGGATGTCACGAGTTAATTTTGCAATATCATAAGCTTTTAAATTCACAGATACTGAAGGATTCAAGGAAGACACTATTCATGGTAACGTATGAGACCACATGAAGAACTATCCCTAAGCAATGCAAATACCGAAAATTACAATCAAAGTAAATCTCTGAGCTCTGCCTAAGATGCCTAGATACCTCTCAAACTAAAAGCCAGACTTAATCAAAATAAGGGTTATATTCTGCCACTCCTCCGCACATCGAGGGATACCAGAAGTGATCCTTCATTCTCTCAGTGGACCCTTTGACTTCCAGGTTATGTTTCACAATGAGAAGTTACCGCTCCGCTGTAGGTTAACAGGGGCAGAATCTGTCCCCATCCCATTTTCTGCACCTTTGCAAAAATACATCTGGTTCTTCCAGAATGTATGCAATGAAAGAACTGACCTACTCAAACCGAGCACAGTGACGGAATTTTGCTTTATGTACAACCCGCTCTATCCCACCCTGAGACGCGGCTCGAGGTAACGCTCCCCGAGGCAAGAATTGAGCCCGCAGAAGCCGGCACGGCGCAGTGCTCTCTCGGCGAGTGGGCAGCCAGAAGGGAGTGCAGCTGAGGATGCTAATGTAAACGAAAACGCACGGTGCAGTCAAAGGTACATTTGCAGTGCAAATGTAAATGACGCTGTGCAGTCACAGGACCGTGACTACACGGGATTAAGGGGATTTTGCACGATCTGGCTGTGTGGCTACAGCCCTGCGAACAGATCTGTGGATTAACCGCATTAAGCAAATAGCCAGAGCAAAACGAAAAGTGGAGTTTGATGCCGTTCACTGAAATTTTACTTTGTCCCACAGCATAGCCAGTTCTAATTTGCTTTTGCTCTGGCAGATACACGAGGAAAAATATGCAAAGCTGCCCCTTATCCCAGCTGTCAGGATTGTAAAACAAATGAGAGATTTGAATAAGTTTACTTAATTGTTATCAGTATTAAAGGCACCTTAAGGGAATCATTCTTAGAATAGAATAATTTGTAGTAGATAATAAATTACATTTTCCTCTATTTTCCTCCTTGGGAAAAATCTATTAAGACCTTATAATTAAAACTCCTGAACATAGTTCAACTAAATGTTTTTAATTGAAAAATTGTCTGTTTTTTAAAATGTCCTTTTTTCTTTTTTTCATAAAAACACCGTTCGCTCTCTTGAGAAATGCCACTGAAAATCATTAACTGACATTCTTCATCAAAACTGCTAAATGAAACATTTCTTTTCTCACTCAGCCACTTAAAGCCATAAGATTTTGGCACCTAATTCCATTTGTATTTGAAAATCCTGGCCAAACAAAAAATTACTTTCTCGAATCCCTTTTTATAACAGTAATAGAGATTATATGGGAAGATACAAAACACGTTCAGGCATGCGTGTGATTCACAAAGTTGTCCCTTTCCCTCTGTACTCCACGCTGATGAGCGCCATCAGTCCACAGTGACCAAGAGAGAGCATCTTTTCTGTTCGGGGTTTTGGATGCGGTTTTTTACTTATTTCTCACTTTGGGATCAAAGTTTGCATCAAAGGCACCGTGGTTTGATTCTGTGCATATATTCATATATTCATAATGGAAATAGAGTAATAAGCTAAAACCGGAATATCACCGCTATACTGAATTTGCTGGCAAATCCCATCTCTATAGGTTATAAGTAGATTCCTCAGAACAGTAAATTATTCGCTAAGTTCTTACCATCATTTCAGTGAGAACAAAATTAAAAATGTTTACTTACTGATGTATATAGGTATCCTTCACTGTTCATTGCCAGATACAATTTTGTTTGAACCCCCTGAATCGCCACCACTCGTAAACCCACAGGTATGAGGTTAAACAAAGCTAGGAGAGAAAAGAGATGGAGAGCAAAATTAATCCTTTAGAGTATGCAGCTTAGATAGAGAATTAAGCCATAATTACCAGAACCAAACAAAAAAATGCCCATTCGCGCATACATTAATTGCTGCAGGTGCTATAGAACAATACTGCTACTATCGTAGTCTTCTATAGCAAATTCCATCAATACTCAGAAATTATCCACAGCGGATATCAGCGTATCTCCCCCCTTCTGAAGATGGTGAATTGGAGGTACTGAGAGCTGAAGTGACTTACCTGCTTCATGAGCAGAAGCCAGGGTCTGCTGAACAGAGTTGAACATACTTAATTTGTTTTTGTTCTTTTTCTGACAATAAGTAGAAAAAAAAGAAAATCCAAAAACAAACAAAAAGTTTTTCAAGACGATCAAAACTTTTTTTTTTTCAAATTCAGATCAAATTCAGTTAACATTTTTGACCAAAGGGAAGGAGCAAGATGAAATTCAGAAATGTTAAAAACCTTCATTAACATCTCAAAATGTTTCCACTCAAAATTCATCGGTTTTTTTTCTCTTTTTGAGAGGAGAATGGGTTTGAAAAAACAGAGTTAAATAACTTCAAAATGAAATGAAATGACAGCATATTCATTAGATCAAGCCCTAAATCCGTTCTTTCAAAATTGAGCTGCTTCGAATGTTCTGCTTGTGTTTAAGCTTCTATACATGCTAATAGTGGCAGTATTTATAAGCAGAGAAACGTCTCTTCAAAAAAATGAAGATTCGGGTTTGTAAACTGGCAAATTAAAAAAAAAAAAAAAAAGCAAAGCTCTGCCATAGCTTAGATTCATCGATACGTTAAAATTGAACACAAGGAATAATGAGTTGAATACAGTACTCTGTGTTCAATACGTAGGACTAAAAATAACAGGGAGTTAAGAAAATTTTCAAGAACTGTTATCATAACCCAAAGCATCTCCTTCCAGTCTGTTGTATAAATGCAGAGATAGGATGAAGTAATGCCAAACTGGCTCTTATTTCCAATGGTTTATTACTTGGCTGTAACACTCTGGTCTGCTTCAGGCTGAAGTTTGGTATTTATGGTCACTGTCTGAAGCCAATTTAAAACTGAATTATGAATTTGAAATATTTTTATTCTTTTCAAAAGTATAAACTAAGAATTATGACCCATTATAAATTCCTTTTTCAGCCTGACAACCCCCAAACGGTCATATTTAATTAAAAGAAAATCTGCAGCTTGCCAGCATTAAATACAGATCCTAAATTCACATTGTGGGGTTGTCAAGAGTGTATCAAAAAAGGGAAGCGCAAACGTATGCACGTCGTATTTCGATAAAGGCATGGCCAGAAGTTAACACTGTGCACTGGGGACGAAGGACTAAATTCTGGTGAAAACAGACTCGGCTCCAGCAGGCAGCTGGACCTCCAGCCCCGTGTGCTGTCCCGTGTTAACCTGAGCATCTCAGCCCCATGGCTCGGTGAAGAGGGGGTGCAATGCACACCACGAACTATGGGCGCTCTGCTCTGAAGTTGGGGGACCTTTGAGGATTGAATTTCCCACCGTGGTCAAATGTAGCAGAGCAGGTGGAAATAGCCAGAACTAACAAATAAATGTAGGAGATCATAAAATCGTACCTACGTTTTTCTTTCCCTCTCAATACACACGAGTGTACATGCAGACACAAACACACAGGCACACATGCAGCCCCTCCTCACCCTTGCCTGCAAGCACAAAATCAACAGAAATGGCTTTCTCTTCACTAAAACAAAATCCTCTAGTTCTGTGCAGTTTTTGGCAAACAAAGCTTAGATTTTCAGTGAGGGAAATGCTTAGGGAAATGGATTTCTCATTCGTTCTGTCAAATGCTTGAATTTATTTGTGGGAGAAAATATTCCCTGTCTGACTCAGTAAATATTCCCTTGGAGATCCCTCTTTTGCAGTTCACCCCAAAAAGCAGCATTTGATCTCCGTGTAGGCAGGACAGCACAATTTAAAGCTCAGTATCCAGGCAGAACCCGGAGGTCTCTTTTGAAAGGCACTTTCTTAATGGCATATTTACGAGTAGGGCAAGCGTGTGGGTATTTTCAGCACCAGGGTACGAGTATGGGCTCCACTGTAAATAGTGCTATGAACGTGTCAGTAGATCAGCTGAGGACAGGGCAAAGCCCGGGACGGTGAAGAAGATACAGCTCACAGCAAAAAGCCACAGAGATAGGTTTTAGTGAGCGATTCCTGGCTGTGCTGTGCTTGGCAAAGTGAGCAGATACACGAGGCTGAGCGACTTCTGCCAGGGGAAGGCTGGGGCACCCACTGCGATGGGTGCTCAGCTGCTTCCCTCAGCAGCTGAACGTTTTTTCCTGCCATAAACATACATGCTCTATTTTGAGGCAAGACGAGGGCTGGGCACACTCAGAAGCTGGTTTAGGCATGGGTGGGATTAGCAGCTGCTGTGGCACAGACTATCGGAAATTGCAAAAGGGCTGTGGGGGAGTAACGCTGGCTCTGCTGCCGACTGCCTCTGCTGAAGGGGAGAAGGACTGGCTGTTGGAGGGGGGCACAGTCAATCTGTCCTATGCCAGCACAGCCAGACACACAGACAGGTTGCCCCAGCTGCCGCCTCCGAGGCGAGGGGACATTGGCACTGCACCAAAAAAGGGGACTGCTGAAGGGGACCCTTCAGCAGCAGCCGTTGCTCCCGCCATCCTTGCACAGCAGCAAGTCCAAGTCCAGCTTCTGTAACAGTGAGTGGCCTGTCTGTGACCAGCGAATGCCGATGGGGCCAACAGCAGAGCCATGCAGCCCCCTTTTCTGCAAGCCCCCAATGCCATGGGCAACGGGTTTGAGATGCTGTCACATTTCTAGTGGTTGACCCTCATGTGGGCAGATATGGCAGAAAGGGTGGAAAAAAAAGCCACAGGAAAATAAATCGTTTGCTACTACAATCAGTTTGTGTCAGCATAAGAAAATGCAAAGATATTTGCGTCCTAGCCTTTTCCTATTACATTTACGCTGTGTAAAATAAGGGCGTAATATCCATGGTAATGAAAAACTTGGCAATGCCTAAGGGAGAGATGATCTTTGCTATAGCCCTTGTGCAATACAAGCTGACAGAGAATTAGAGCTGCAAAATAAGAAGCAGCGGGCCATAGATGGATTTATGAATGTATACATTACTGTGAGGTCTGTGCCATCCTTCGCTTGGTCACCTGGACCTTCGTACGCTTTCTGCAGGATATTGTTTCCTATATTTCCTTATTTTATCAGTCCTCAAATCTTTTTGTCTCGCCAAAATTGGGGAATAAATTGTGCCTTGATTTAAAACCTTGCCCTATTTAACGCATTTAATGAAGCAAAATCTGTTTTGCAGCCAGGAAATCCTTTCTATGAGGCACTTCCTCAAATTACATGGACTCCTGGCTAAAACCGAGGTCTGGTGAGTGCTACGGCTCCTCAAATCCATGTTTCACTTCCTGCCTAAATTGTGCTCCAAAATCTCAGCTTTCTTTTAAACTCCCTGCAATTGTGGATGCAACCTTGTTTTTGTGAACCCTGTATGCAGCAGTGGGACTGCAGAGCTTGAAATAATTGCTCCCAAGTCAGGAGCCGAAGGGGATCTTCAGGCAAACTTCCCACCCAGCTCTAGGTAGCAAACGATGGAGAAGGTGGACTCCTGGCCCCAGGATGCTGTCAGGAGCACAGAACAGCAGCTGGCTATCGGGGGCCACAACCTCTCCTCATCCCTACTATAAAAAGGGAAGAAAAAATCTGAAATTTAAACAAGGCTGACCAATGCTGTGTCTGGAGACCAGGTGGACTATGGCTATCGTTTCCTCTAAAAAAATGCAGTTTCAGAGTCCTAGCCCTGTGCAACCGCTTTGCTGGCCACAGCTACGTTTGAGGATGTTCCCCTTATTGTTAAGGGGAGTTTCTATTATCACAGTGAATACAAAGCAAATGGTCTCAGAGCGCATGTTCAGTGAAGGTGACAAAAGGGAACAGGAATGATATCCCTCAAGGGGTGCAAAGGAGGAGAGAATGGACTGGAGAAGGAGTGCCCCCACATTTGGAGGGGGCTACAAGTCCTGTGGCTTCCCTGCAGTGCAGGAATATGGGCTAAATGAGAGATGTCTCTGCAGATATTGGAAGAAAGGATTTTAGAGGGCCTGATCCACTTAGTATTCACGTGAGCAAGCCTTTGGGGGAAGCCCCTTAAGTGGACTCTGATCCACAGCATAAATCAGTCTGTCTTCCTAGCTCCATTAAAAATATTGCAATTAAAATAAATTCAGGACTGCTGGACATTCAGGTCCCTACACTTACATAAAAGAGGAACATATACAAAAGCATGTGTTTTTTTATAATAAACCCCTCCTCTGTTCTGAACACTTAGATACTGCAGCCCAGCTGCAACCATTTCTGGGATGCTTTCATTATATTTAAGTGTTCAGCATTTTGGAAGGCTGGTATCCAGCAACAAGGAGTTTTTACAATTTGCTTTGTAATCTGACAGGTTATGGTAAATTTAAGGACACGGTGAAAACGAAGATATCTTAGAAACAGACACACTTGTTTGAATGTCAAAAGGACAGGTTCCCATCAATTTTACCTTTTGAATCTCAGAATCCCTATTAGAGGAACTGCAAGCAAAGTATTTGAATGAAATGATCACTTAAAGAAAAGATGGAATTTCAGATATTTGCTCTGCTACATTAAAAGTTTATAATAATATCATGCCTTGATTTAAAAAGTAAGGTTTGCCTATTTCTTCTTTTTTTAAGATAATTAACAGAATTACCCTGAAATCCTGAACGAACTGTACTGACTTTTAAAATCCTAAATATTAGATCATTCACTTGAAAATAAAGCAGTGTTTAAGGTCTATAAGGATCATTCTTAAAGTAGATTTTGTGGCTGCACTGGGGGGAACTCAGTAAGATGGCAGCAGCCGCTCAGCATTGCACTGATCTGGTCTTTGTGCTGCCTTCCCCGCGGGTGAGGACGGGACCCAGAGCCAGACCTCAGGCTACCCTACAGATCCTACGCTTGTGCTCTGCCCCACGGCCAGCACCTTCAGTGGCTGCAGAGGAGACCTCCTCCAGCAGCCTAACTGGTTCCCTCCCGTCACTTAGAAGTTAATACAGGGATGCAAAAAGGATTAAAGAGGGTGCAGGAAAAGTGTGGGAGCAAGTGGTCAGACAAATAAGATAGGATACTTCCTACTGCATCTAGTGCTTACTGTGCCATAGTCAAGTACCCTGTAAAATGAAACGATGTTTCACCTGCAAATGCTTTTCTTATGAAAAGGATGGCACTTAAATCAGTGCTTTTTAATAATTAAAAAGGAAGGTCTGCCTGTTGATTTTCTGGTTTGTTGTCTAAGTGGCCTGAAATACCTTCTCAAACTCCTTGCTCCTCCTAACTCCTTCTTTCAGAACAGAAACGTAGTTTAAGCTAAACAGTACCACTATGCAAAACACTTAAATATTTTATTCACACACACCAAATCTATGCTCTAGTCATCTTTTCCTGTTTTCTATTAATTCCTAAAGTTGTTAAAAAAAAAACCCACAGCAAAACGCAACAAACTAAAAGCATCCAAAGCTTTTTCACAGAAAAGCTGAGGGAAATCTGGTTGAAAGCTGAAGGTATAATCAAGTTTAGAAGGGGTAAAAAATAATAATAATAGGGAAATGTGAACTTTAAAATGATGATGAACTCTCATTGTGTGAAATAACACAGCTCTGTTTGAATGAGCCCCTGTTTAAGAGTGGAGATAGCGTTATTCTATTTCAGGCGCTCTGAGTAGGCGAGCAAATTTTCCCCATGGAAAAAAAAAAATCTCATAAAATCCAAAGGACAGCAATGAACTTCTCTAGATTACCATGGAGATAACATTTGCTTTGTTTGTCATATGTGTCATCATTACCTCCTCTAGTTCATTATTTCTATAAGTGATTTTTATTTGCACTTCTCTCAGACCCAGTAAGTCTGAAAGACTTCTGCGCCGTGAGCACAGTGTTAACGCCGCTTCCACTCACTCAGTCATCCCAGGACAACAATTTTGAACGGACCTATATGGAAGAATGAGACACCACAAGTCACAAACACACCATTTATTCTCATGTCACTTACTATAACTACTGTCCTCCTCTTTTGTTCCATCAATTGTTCCATCTGCTTGCAACTGCAAGTGGTATCCTTGCCTGCTGTATAGCTTTGTTACTATACCTTTAAGCTGAGGCTCTGTAAAAAAACAATAGCGAGATTAATGTGGGAAATCCTGATGTGCTGTTCCAAGCGAGCAGGATGCTAAAAACAAATCTCCAGGTTTCTTCTCAAGGCTGAGGTGTGAAAAAGACCCAAACCAAAAGCAGGACAACCAGCTTTGCAACACTTTTCATTTAGGTTGAGATCAATTTTGTCTCTGAAATCAATTACCAAAATGATTAAACGCCACTTTTGATTGCAATGTAGGCAGCACAGTAAAACCTGCTTCCAGCAAATACAAATTCCAACAGTGTGCTGCTTGGCCTCAGGAGCTCAGCCCTATCTCATTTAAGATTAGAAATGAGCTGGCAAAGAGCGTATTCCACCTTTTAAAAAGGTGTGAGTTCTTAAATGGAGAGGAAAAAGAGGACTACTACGATAGCGCTAATAAGAGCCATAGTGACAGTTGAGAGCCTAAATATATAGCAGCAAATGTTTAGCACAGGAACTGCTGCAGCTCTAATAAACAAACCCCCATTCCTCGCTGCTCCAAAGAGTACAGAGCATCCGAAGTGATAAACTACTCGATGAACATATGGAAAATGGAGGGGGGAACCCTGAAATCCAGCAATGTGTGGAACTGCAAAATAAATATTACCATAAGGGTTGAGGTAATTACCTCATCAGCTAGAAGAAGAAAGATCAAAACAACGCATAGTTTGGAGAGATTTCTTTTTTTCATAGCCATTCTCAGATTCACAGTCAGAAAGCGAGAGATCTCATACAGTTTCAGATCATTCTAGACCAAGAAGTAAACAGCAACAGGATCTGCTCTCAAGTCTGTCATTTAAGATATCTAGGTAATGCACCGGGAGCAATTGCAAAAAAGGTCTACTTCCACTGAATCCCAATGACATCTGCATTGTAGTCATCTCACACAATTATGCTTGTCGGGAGGTGATGCATCTCCGCAGCTCGCTCCACAACAACTTACTTAATTCAGAGATAAACATACTGCGAAGATATGATGTGTCGTTTCCAACAGCCAATGTCTGGATAAGACTCCTTGTGTTTGTAATCAAAGACATTAGGGAGCTCTGCTACTGTGCTTCATTTTAGTAGGAGCTGAAGGCAAAAGCTTACAATAGTTTGCGTAAGTGTATTACTTCCTATTAGCAACCTTTAATAAGGGTACTGACGGATGCACAATTCTTATCGACCAACTTTTCTGACAAGAAATTAATCCAACCCCCACTTTGGCTTTTTAGCCATAATACATCCCAAAGCTGTTTGCAAATTGCGAGCAGGCACCTCTTCTGCGGCTGCTGAGAAAGGCAGACAGGTTAAGTGGCGAATGGCATCAATGTTTCAGCACAGCAAAGCGATAGCAACATTACCAGAGGGTTTTGCTCCTCCCATGTACAAAAAAACCACTCGGAGCAGGGACTGAGTCTTCATGCCTAATCTTTTGCACCTCTGACACAGAGAGCATCACGTCTGCAGGGCAGCTGCGTGTATGAGATTCCTAGAAAGGAACAGGGCGCCGAAGCAAAACTCTGGAAGGTGCCAGTGAAAGCAAAAAGCCTCGTCTGCAATCAGCAAATAAAGCACGGCACAGGCATTCTGCGAAGCAGGGAGACACAAACAGATCTCTAGACCGCTAAGTTATTTAACATACAACTGAAGGAGGTGTATGTGTGGGAACTTCCCCTGCAAACATCTCCCCCACAAATAAATCCCATGTGTTTGTATATGTGTATGTGTAAGACAGGCTGCTGAATTACCAGTGCACGGGAGCACACAGGTAAGTGAGGCAGATAGCAATGGTGTGTGTTATCCAAATAAACCAGATGAACATGAAAAGGGAAGGGACTGGCATGGGGTACCCATGTCTATCAGACCATATCAGCCAGGAAGGGCAATACCTGCACGTTCATTTTTACCAGCCCTGAGGCACCGGTCCCCCTCTCCCCACGCCTGATGCACATCCCAGTTTGCATTAAATTAAACAAAGCAACCCCCCAAACACATAACCCTTGCCAACCTGGTCGCCTTCTTCGCCTTTTCTTGGAGCCAAAGAGTTTGACCCTGGAAAACACATTCAACTTGTTCTTGTCGCAGCTTCCCTTGCTCTTGCTGGGGCTGTTGACACACTTACAGGCATTGGACTTCTCCCGCTCCCTGGCTTGTCTCTTCTG